ATGCGTTATAGATCCAGTGACTCCAGTGGGAGACACAAGGAAAACAGATTGCTGCTTTGTGTTGTGTTTCTACTGGCCGCTGGTTTTAGATGATCTGATTCATTAGCATTACAAAGAGATTTAACTACATTAACCACATATAAGTTACCATTATAGTGTGTGTGTGTGTGTGTGTGTGTGAGAGAGAGAGAGAGAGACATTTTTAAATAAAAATATCTTGCACATGAACACAAAGAAACTGTCTGGCTGTATGCGACTTCACACTAATCTAATTTAATCCCAATCTGTCTGCACTAAATCATGCAATCACACCAGACTAGAAACTAATTCAGTCGTCGGATGCCTGCTGACAACACTTTCAAACCTGCAACTCTAATTGTATAGAAAAGATGTTAGGTATCATTCATGTCCGGAGCACAAACACTGTAAAACGGGTTACACACTGAAGTTAAATACTTGGAGTTCGGTTTGGAGTTTGTTCAAATCTTTATATAAGAGCAAGAGTAATAGTAATGCTTGACTTTTTAAACACTACTAATAAGTAAATCCCCAAAAGGCGCTAGTTCCTGGAACAGTGAGCAGATCTTCACAAGGACCAATCAATGTTCTACATGCTAAAAATAAATAATGAAACCGTGTCTGTGCATCTGAGCATCTGCTTGCTCTGCGTAAATGTGAAAGAGTCAGTGACCACAATGACACACACATGCAATTTCACACAAAAAAATGTAAGTATACACTAAACTGGCACATTTTATAAAGCCAAACAAACATTGCAAAGAAGCTAGAAACAGTTCATCCAGAAAGTTCAAATAAGACTTAAAATAAGTTTAAATAATAATTCTTTTTTATAAGTTCAGTTTAAAAAAAGCTAAATAAATAAAAGAACAAATATTTAATTTATGGTTTATACCAATTATAAATATGTCCAGGAAAATATGTGTAAAAAAATAAATTAAATAAAATAAAGATTTAATGTAGTCAGATTGATTTAGTCATATCAAATAATAATTTTGACTTAAAAAAAAAAAACATAAAAACAATAAACATTTTTAGGTTACCTGTACTATTCAAAAAAGATAACATCTGTATGAAAAAAAATCTGTATGAATTTAAGCACTGTACAGAAAAGATTCTGCAAAACAGCTCATTTCATATCACTAATGTATCATTAAATCACCAATATATGCACTTTTTTATATATGGTAATTTGGTGATGTTTAAATCATTTTTCTCATCTGCGCTCATCCAGAGGGGGTGAAAACAGACATCGACCCCAGCCTGAATAACATATGACGTCCCCCAATCCATATGGGGCCCCCTGAGACATCAATGAGACATTACAGCTCCTGAAGAACACTACCAAATGCTAATCGCGTTTACTGTTGATTTCAGTTTATTCTCACCATTTCACACTCAACATTTACTCCATTTGTTATGGATATTATTAAGCGACTTGTAGGCATGCCGTGTCAACACAAAGAAGAATTTTGCTAAACTTTTAAACATATTTTAAACATAAATATATGCTTGTTTAAACATGTCTAAACATATTTTACAGATAATTTTTTTTTTTTTTATTAAGCTGCATTCATTGCATGCATTCATTAATTTCATCAGTGAATATCAGTGTAGGAATATTAGTTTGGTTCAAAAAAATCATTCAAAACTCTCACGAATTAGTATAACTAAATAACCAATGTCATCATAGTTTTCTAGCTGTTGATTAAAGTAAACACACACACACACCATCATGCATCACTAGAAGACAGATAAATATAATGAAAGAAGATAAAAACCAAAGGGTTGAACTGTGTTCCCAAAATAGGGAATCGGGTTGAGACAAGTTGTCACATTTATAAAAGTACATGCTGTTCATGAGTTTTATCTGTTCTTTTGAACAAAACAATGATATGTTATTTATTTACTTTTGTTTGTTTATTTTTCAAAATTGTCTTACTGTTTACATTTTGCTGGAAAGCATTTAAGCCATTTTAAATGCAGAACGTTGCTGGGAAAATTTCTTATTGTTACTTTAGATAGTGTTTCACATTTTAAACAAACGTATTCTTCTCAAATCGGTGCCAATAAACGGCAAGTGATATAGTGACAACTTGCCCCGGTCTCCTACACACTAAAAAATATTTAACTGAAATACATTTAAATTCATTCATGATTCACGTGGCTGTGCTGCTACGACGGTTTTTAACTTTCTCCTGTCTTGCGTCACGTGATGAGCTCGCGCTTACCTGTGTGTGCAGGTCTGAAGATGAGTCGCGTGGGTCGCGTCGCGTCGCGTCTGTGCGGATGAAGCGGCGCTGCGAGGTTCATGGTCCCTCCGCAAGTGACGTCATCAAACATGGGCTGGACCTGTAGAAAAACAAATAATTACAAAGACCTTCCCGCATCCCACATAAAACCCTTTTAACTTTATATGGACGCTTATTGTATTGTGTACTACTATTATGTAGCCAATATATTGTCCAAACAATAAAGCTATGTAATAAAATAAAATATTTATACTTACATTTGAATTGATATGTTAATGTACTGAAGAAAAATCAATCAAATAAAAAATAAAATAAAATAAAAATAAAAACACTTCAGTGTATGGTTTATACCTATTATAAATAGCCTAATGTCCTGGCAAAGTTGTGAAAACATTAAAAAATAAAATATATATAAAAAAGAAAGATTAAAATAAAAACTCAAATTCAATAAATAGCTGAATTACAATTTTTTATATATTGTACTGATAAAGTTATGTAAAAAAATAAAAATGCAAAATTAATCAAATATCTGAACTCAATGTATTGTTATGAATATAATGTCTTGGCAAAATGTGTAAAACTAAAATAAAATTATAAAATAATTTAATTTAAATGTATAGTTGAATTACATTTTACACAAAATATTTAATTTATTTGATATATTGTACTGATGCAAACTAAATGAAAAAAAATTGCTTAAAAACAATTTAATATGTGGTTTATGTGAATTATATATATAATGTTCTGGCAAAGTTGTGTAACACTTAAAAATATTAATGAATATTAAAATAATAAATATTAAAATAAATAAATATTAAAATAATAACTATTCAATATATCACTGAATTTTTTATATATAAAACATTTTTATGTAAAAAGTTTATGAAATAGCAAAAATAAATAAAATAACTTAAATTCCTTGTATTATTATTCATATAATGTCCGGGCAAAATTGTGTAAAACATTAACAATTATTTAATATAGTCCAATTAAATGACAAATTAATATTTCTGAATTTAAAACAACAACAACAACAACAACAACAAAACAGTTCATTTAGATGATAGTACATGACGCATATTTTTAGATTACCTGTCAGAAATTGTTTTACAGTGTTTTAAAAGCAAAGAGCTGTGATTAAAAAAAATTAATAAAGAAATAAAAATGTTGATGTAGTAGAGAAAAGGGTGAAGGTTTACATGTGTGGGAAAAGTGATACTGCATACTGAATCACTCAGGTATGTAATGATTGATGATGAAACCCAATTAACCTCTCCTTCATCGTCTGCACAACATAGTACCTAAATCATACAGGCCCTGTCTGGCCTTCCCCTCCGCTCCATCCACAGGACCACAGCTTTTACAAAGACTGCAGACGGTTTAACGGTTGAAAACCCCATACAGACAGTCTAAAAGCATGTGCATTGATGTTAATGGGGGCTAAATAGGATGTAGTGTAAACACAGACCATGCCAATGCATAAAGAAGCTATTATTAGCATCTGTACAAAGAATGGGAATCAATAATGTACTCTAGTTCAAACTATCCTCTAGAAAAAAGCAGTGCGAGTGATTAGAGTTTATTTTATGGGCTAATGCACTCATAAAGCAACAGAGACAAATGAGGGGGCTGTTTAAAAATCAATGTGCTCTAAATACGTCAAATCTCTATGAAGCACAGGCTAGTCTTACAGATATTAAGGTACTTGACATTGAGACAATAGTTATGCTATTTACTTAAAGTCAATCAATTCTGCATTAAAGACTATCTGTGAACCATTTACACAGTGATTGCATGAGATGCGGCGTCCTCTGCTGGATGAATGATGAAAATGAAGCTCTGTGTCTTCTAGGTCGATATTTGGACATTTCCATGGTAATGCCAACAGTATATATTTCTATGAATATGATATAAATTAATTACGTGAATTTTTGTAAATTACCAATTTTTTTGTTTAAAAAAAAAAGAGAGTTACCAAAGACTTACATCATACCTATTTGTGGAAATTGCTAAGTAGTATATATACTGTATATAGACTAATTGACTAAACCACTAAGTGGGGGCTTTGGCAACAAATATTAGTTTGTAGTTATTGCCAAAAAAAAAAGTTCAACAAAGCTAAATAATACACAGAAAAAAAACTTTGGTGGTGAAATACTTTTCAAATTGCTAATAAATATCACAAAGAATCAGCAAGTAACACATTTAATTAAACGTTGAAGTTAGAAGTAGAAAGAAATAGTATTTTCCTGTAAAACATACCCCAAAAATCATTGTTATATTTACAACTTCAAAAAATCATTCAAAAAAAAAGTCTTCAATTTTGTAAGTTGCTTTAGATAAAAGCTGATGAAACAAATACATGTACTTTTTGGTCATTAAAATAAGTATTTTTTGTTAAATAAAACCTTTTTATAATGTATTGAATATATACAGATTACATTTTTTAAATTGGAAAGGAACTAAGAATTTAAAATCTAAATATTATAGTATATTAGACAGCAAGAAAAATAAACAGATTTTATTTTCTCCCACAACACTGAGCAAAAAACACCACAACATCACTTTCTTATAAAAGCTGTGTGTCAGTGTGTGTGGAAAAACTGTCCTGATCCATGAGGTTAATGTGTGCGAAGAAGGAAAGGAAGGTACAAATATATTATATTTATAATTTCGTTTGACAAAAAAATGTCAGTTGTCAATAAAAACAAATAATGATTGATAGTCATACACACACACAAAAATAAATAAATAAAAAATACCCACCTCTAAAAAGGTAATTTCTCATTTACACTGAACCAAAGCCTAAAACTTACCAAAGTTACCTCAAACTTGAATGTTATTAAGCTGCTGCAAGCACAGATGTTTCCTTCATGAAATGCACATCTAGTTAGAACATGAGTTTATTTAACAGTCTCACAGTCTCAGATCAGTGCTGGTTGGTTCATGCGAGAAATCTCTCCGTAGTCTCCAGTAGCTCTGCTGGGCAGTTTATGTTTGTGTGGTCAAACATTATATCCTGACAGTGAGAGCCAGACCTTTCTTCTCTTACTGTATCTCTCATGTTGCTCTCTGAAGCTGGACTGATGACGATTGTGGGAGCATCCGGGGAGCAACTAGGGTTAAATGAGAGGTCAGAGGTCATATCGGCACTCCCGCTCTTCTTAGTGTAAACGACCGTAGGTGCTGTTGCCATGGCGAGGGAACCGGAGATGAGATCTCGCTCGCATAGACTGAACGACTCTCTCATCTGTACTGAAGGCTACAGAACACAAACACACTTGGTGATTGGTTGAATGACTGAATATGTACATTCTTCCTGTACATTCATTTGGAACTCTATTTAAAGGAATAGTTCACCCAAAATTGAAAAAATATTGAAAATATACTCACCCTCAAGACATCCAAGATGTAGATGGTTTTGTTTCTTCATTGTAACATATTTGGAGAAATGTAGCATTACATCACTTGCTCAGCAATGGATCCTCTGCAGTGAATGGGTGCCGTCAGAATGAGAGTCCAAACAGCTGATAAAAACATCACAATAATCCACAAGTAATCCACACCACTCCAGTCCAGCAGTTAATGTCTTGTGAAGAAAAAAGCTCAATGTTTGTCATAAAATGAGTCTTAAAATGAGTCCTCTATCCATAATTTTGCTTTGACTAGGAAAAAAGTCATCTCATCTTAATCAGGAGAGAACTATGCACAGATCAAGCACTGTTTACTTGCGAAAACAGTTATAAACAAACATATTGGTGGATTTAGATGTGAGAGGACAACAGGGGATGGACTTTTTCAGGAGTTATTATGGATCATGAACTCGTATTTTGGCCAGAAGAGATGATGTAAAGTAAAAATGCCTTTATGAAGGATTTGTTTCTTACAAACACGCCGCTTTTCACTTCACAATATGTTAACTGATGGACTGGGGTGGTGTGGACTACTTGTGGATTATTGTGATGTTTTTATCAGCTGTTTGGACTCTCATTCTGACGGCACCCATTCACTGCAGAGGATCCATTGCTGAGCAATAATGCTACATTTCTCCAAATCTGTTCCCATGAATAAACAAACTCATCTAGATCTTGGATGCCCTGCATGAGGGCAAGTACATTTTCAGCCAATTTTTAAGTAAAATATTAATCTTTCAGTGTCAGTGAATTAAACCTCACCTTCTCTATCAGCAGCGAGGAGCATTTGAGGATCCGCTGTCTAGAAGAGTCTCTAAATGACACTTTAGACAAGTTGCGCCTGTTCTCCATCAGGTCCAGCTCCACTTCTCCCATTACCTGCAATCTCACACACACACACACACACACTCTAAAATATAGACCCATAATGAACCAGCACCATATTCAGCAACTGAAAGTGTTTGATAATAGCGGTGTTATTGAGATAAAGTGAGCAGTATTCAGCTGGTCATGTGATCTCAATATTTTAGACCCAGGATATGAATGGAGTTTCATCTGAGTTGTAGAAACTCAAGCCTACAGATGGACCTTTCTGCCGTACCATAGCACTGGAGCCGCTGGTCAAGGTTGTGTGGAGTTTGTTCTTGGAGACTGATGACTGTCTGCTGACACTGTTGTCCTGGAATGAGGCGTCGCTATTGGTGGAGGAGGTGAGACAGTCCTTCTGAACACGAGACAGGCAGGACAAACCTGGGACCTTCTCAGCTAATGTGGCTCTGCAGAGAGACAGATGAGCAAATGTCAATGCTGTGAAATTGTCTTCCTATACAATTAGCTTTTTGATTATTTCATTTATTATTTTATTTATGATTTTTAAGTCATTTTTTTATTATTCTATAGAGAAAGCAACTTTTTGCTATATATACAATTTTATTAAAAACGGTCCAAAGAACATAATTTGTAGAATGATAGAAATCTTTTTCTATCATTCGGACTTTTGAAAAAGCAAAGGTATTAAAAAAAAACATAGCCCCAAACTTTGAAACATTATACATGATACTTTTGAACATTATATATTATACTTTTGAAAATTATATATAATATACTTTTAAACATTATATACATATTTTTGAACATTATATGTTTGAACATTGTTGAAAAATATGTATTATGCGCCATACATTTTTAAATGCATTTTAAGTTATTCATCATTTTAAATAAAAAAAAAAACATTTTAGTTCACATAAATGTGACCAATGTTTTTAAAACGGCATATATAAAAATTATACAAGAATTTTAAAACCTATATATAATAAATATTAATTATTACAATGTTTTTACAATTGGTTGAACCCATGCATATATATATATACATATATACAGTATATAAAGCAAAGCAAAGTTAACTTTCTGCTAACCATTTGTATTTATTTTTTGATCATATATTTTACATAAAGTGTGCATGATTGTGTATTTGTTTGTTTTATGATCTTTTTACCTGTATTTGGTGTGAACTATGGCATATATGAAAGGGTTGTAGATGGCAGATGATTTGGCGATGACCGCCGGCAGTGTTTTAGAGTAGGGCGTGAGGATGTTTGCATGCCTGAGAAACAAAAGGAAAAAACAGTTACTTTTGAATGCATGTAGGTCATTCAAAAAATTCAAGTGCAGTGCTGAAAAGAGAGAAAGAGCTTACAATGTTTAATAATCACTTCCTACTTCTCACAGCTGTGCTGAGCTTAACTACTATAGAGGTCCACACAAACACACACTTATAAGACAAAAGTACAGCGAAAAGTGCCAGATAAACAGTAATCAGGGGATTTGTAGATTACAGACACTGTAACACTACTGATATATAAAGATCACTGCAAACTATATATAGCATATAGTACACTGATTAAATGCATCTTATTCCATTAATGCTTGTTTGTCCTTTATAAATATTTTAATCAACATTTCATATTTTTGTGTCCTCTAGAATTCTGGTATCCGAAGGGATCACTAATAACAATAATGGTGACTCGAAACTATTAACCAATAACTTCAACACTAAACTGAGCTAAAATCTCTATTAATTCTGAATAAAAAACTTTTTGAACAGTAAGTTCCCACTGTGACAACTTACCCCATATAGTGTGACAATGTATCCTGTTTTAAGTTCAACATCTGTTAAATGAACTCGAAACTTTTTTACAGGCAATAACTGTGGAAATGTTCAATATTTACTTTTTTTTTTTTTGTAGTCAGTACTTAGTTATACAGAAACACAGGATACAGAAAAACCTGCATTACTAACCCAATATTATATTGCAAACACAACATATAGGATTTGTTAGGAACAGTATACTTTCAAATTTAGGGCAAATACTGTATTTAATTTTTTCTCAGTCAAATGTATCTCTTTAATCTCAGAAGAAAGACCAAGTCATGCCTAGAGTTTAGAAAACAACAGAGCAGCACAGTGAACACAGTGCTTACACAAGTGAGCTGTTGTTTGGCTCTCATCACATGGCCATTAAATCAGTACGAGGCCATAATTTTACAACCCCGTATGGTTGCATGTGACAATAATACTGATATTTAAGAATAATGCATGTAGTCACAGTATTTGTTGTACACTACCATTTAAAATTTTGGGGTTGTGAGAATGTTTAATGTTGTTGAAAGAAGTCTCTTTTGCTCACCAAGGCTGCATTTATTTGTAAAAACAGTTATATTTTTAAAATACTATTGCAGTTTAAAATAGCTGTTTTCTTTTAGAATACATTCTAAAATGTAATTTATTCCTGTGATGCAAAGCTGAATTTTCAGCATCATTACTCCAGTCTTCATTGTCACATGATCCTTTTAAAAACATTCTACACTTTAAAAACAAGTGTTTGGGCTCAACAAAAACATTTTGCATCAATAACAACTTGTAATGAAATTACAAACTTGTTAGAGGAACATAATTTGTAGCATAAACAATTTTTTAGGCTGATAACAAAACAAAACAAAAAAAACTTATTTCAATATAATTGAGTGATGGCCCTGGAACCAATTATTCTTATCTATTTTTTGTATCTATTAATCTTATCTATTATCTTTTTTTAAGTAAAATCAAGAAATATCATTAAAATTTTCATTTAAATTACATTCGATATTAAGTTTATGTAACCAAAAGTAAAAAAAAGAGATCTTTCAGTTTAAATTACACTCGATAAGTTGATGTAAACAAAATAAAAATAAAAAAACAATTACCACAAAAATTTCCATTTAAATTTCACACAATATTAAACCTTTGAACAGTAGAGTATCATTCATGCATGTAGTACATACTTAGGGTTACAAGCTTAAATCACTAATCCTAAGTATGAGCAATATATTTAGTAATGCTTTCTAAGCTTATATTAAGAACACATGAATATGAGGACCCCAGAAATGTATAAATACACATTTCTGTAAATGTGTAGATGCTCAGCACTCACCCTGCCCAGGCGATGAGGGTGACGCACGCGTAGGGAGACCAGGACAGCACATACACCACTATGACCACAGCCGCTATTTTGGCCAGTTTCCATTCACTCCTCATGGACTGCTGCTTCACAAAGCTGGACTTCTGAGAGCTCAGCCGCTCTAGATCTCTAAACACACACACACACATATGGACATAAATGCTTTTCAGTGAACACTCTTCGAACTCAAGATGCCTCAGCGAGCTCAGACCTGCTGGCCTTTCGTACGGAGAGGAACATGAACAGATAACAGTAGAGGATGATGGCCAGAGGGATGAAGAAGACAAAACAGCACAGCATCATGGTGTAACTCTTGTTGGCGGGAGACGGAGAGGCGTAGTCCCACGTGCAGGATGTCATCAGACCTTCAGGGATGTAGGAACCTGCAAGAGCATTTAAAGATACATCATATATTTCATCAGTAGGGTATAATGGAGCTAAAGTCACATCTTAAAGGGATAGTTCACCCAAAAATTCATTCTGTCATCATTTACTCACCCTCAAGTTGTTCCAAACCTGAATGAATTGTTGAAACAATGTTGGTTACACAGTATTTTTTTCCCCATATGGAAGTCAATGGCTACCAGCAGCTGTTTGGTTACCAACATTCTTCAAAATATCTTCTTTTGTGTTCAGCAGAAGAAAGAAACTCAGACAGGTTTGGAACAACTTGAGGGTGAGTAAATGATGAGAGCATTTTTATTTCTGGGTGAACTATCCCTTTTAGAAAAATGTGTTTTTTTCTACTCCCATAATGTATGATTGCTGAAAAAAAAAGTTTTTATTGAACATTGATGGAGCAAAACATTTTATAGGAAAATAAATTATAAAAGTTGCTTTGTGTTAAAAAAAAAAATCTCACAAAGATGATAAGGGGGACATTTGTTATAGAAGCTTAATTTAGCCACAGAATAAAACTATTAGAAAATGTAATTGCTATGTTTTATCTCAAAATTCTGAGAATAATCAAATAATTTTTCTTGCAATTTCAAGTTCATATCTCACAATTCTGACTTTTTTTCTCAGAATTTTGAGTTCACATCTAACAATAACAACTTGCAATTCTGAGAAAAAAATGTTGATTTGTGAGATCAGAACTCACTATTGCGAGAAAAAAAATTTAAGATAAAAAGTTGCAGTTAGCTTTTTTATATTTTTATTCCTTGGCTGAAATATGCTTCCACACTTAGATAAAGTGTTTGGCATAATATCTGGATAAAATAAAGATAATAGTTAATAATTAAAAGTTTTTATAACATTTTTTTTATTTTATTTTTTTATTATTATTTTAAAAGATTCTGAAAGCTTTGAAGAAGATCCCATAATAATCGCATATGTCTGTTACAATAGTAACAATAAATATGAGATTAATTATAAAAAAATAAAATTAGATCAATTTAGCAGAGAATCAGCTTTGCATTGCTGTCCATGATTGTGTCAGGGATCAGCCAGATTTCCATGTGCATAGTGAAACAAGGAAAGTGCTGTGGTAAGTTTTTGTGCTTATCTGGTGGTTTAGAGGAGAATAAAATCAAATGCGCCTTTTACCCCAATACACTTTCAGTCCTGTTGGAGTCTACATATGGTGGGGTTTGAACCAGCAGCTATTCGGTGACCAGCCCTAAGCTTTAATCATTATGCCACAGCACGCTATCTCATTACTATGCACAAAAACTGGCATACCTTTATTTTCTTTATTATAACCTGAAAATGACACCTACTTCTTCATTATATTCGAACATTTAAAGTCTAAATTTAATGATATCTTACTCCAGCCAATCAGAGGTGCCAGACTCCAGGCCAGTGAGTAGAGCCAGATGCAGAGGATGGCCAGAGAGGTTCTGCGCTTGGAGTTCCACTGGATGGTCTGCAGCGGTTTAGTGATGACCACGTATCGATCGATAGAGATGGCCAACAGGTTTATCATCGAGGTGATGCCAAACAGCGCGCCACAGAATGCATATATTTTACATCCTGAAGATACGAAAAGAATATTTAGAGAATATAGTGTTTATAGTAAATTTTCCAAAGGTTACTCTAGAATATAACATACATTTAAGCCATGAAATTCATTTGAGTGAAAATTTTGATAGTGTGATAAAAGTCTTAGTATGATTTTTTTTAATCCATTCTATGTGACTTTTATTTGTTCCACATTTTTCAAAATCTTAAAAATGTCTAGAATATAACATACATTTAAGCCATGAAATTCATTTGAGTGAAAATTTTGATAGTGTGATAAAAGTCTTAGTATGATTTTTTTTTTAATCCATTCTATGTGACTTTTATTTGTTCCACATTTTTCAAAATCTTAAAAATTTATTTAAAAAGATTGTTACCGAGTTCCCCAAACATCCACTCCTTAAACAGGCAGCTGATGAAGAACATTGGAGATTGTGTGATGGCCATGAGGAAATCACTGACCGCCAGGTTCACTATGAAATAATTTGGCAGGCTCCGCAACTTTTTATTACTGCACAAAAATATTAAGATCAAGTTATATTCATTCCATTGTTAAAACAGAAAGAGTACAGTTTATGAACAATGAATTTCAGGTTTTGCTTCTATTTATATGACCTTCTTTTTGCTGCGAAAGACAAAAGATATTTAGAAGATATTTTTGTTGGTAACCAAACCGTTTAGGTTCCAATTGACTCCCATTATATGGACAAAAAGTACAGTGGGAGTCAATGTGAACTGAAACTATTTAGTTACCCAAAAATATCTTCAAGTGACCTTATTTTAATTGTTTTGTTTTTTTGATGAACTATCCTATAAAAGCTTGTTTCCACTATTATATTCAAATTCAGATTTTTTTTCCTCAAAATTGTGAGTTTACAACTTTTTTTTTCTGCCAGGGAATTAAAAAAAGGTTTTGTGACTTTTTGCAACTTTTCATCTCACATGACTTTTTTTCTCGTAACTGCGAGTTTATATCTCTCGACTGCAAGTTATACATCTCACTATTCTGACTTTTTTCTCTGAATTTTGAGTTTATATCTCACGATTCTGTCTTTTTGTTTACGCCACAGAATTAAAAATAAAAAGGCAATTCCGACTTTTTATCTCACAATTCTGAATTGATATAAAAAAAGTGAGAATTGTGAGATGTAAACTCAGAATTGCGAGAAAAACGCCAGAATTTTGAGACACAAAGTTGCAATTACCGTTTTATTCTATTTTTTTTTTCTCATGGTAGAAACAAGCTTCCATAACTATCCTTTCAATTGCATTTAAATGCAAATATATAGATTTTATTACACACATAGAACGATTATATCCCTGCTAATCTTTGTTAACTTGTTTCATTGTAAATGCATTAAATGTAGGTGAGAAGCAAATAAGAGTTATTTGTCAAAGCTGATATCAAACAGATCAAATGTCCCCATTGCAGTTCTTTCCACTGATGTACTGCAGTTCTAGGGATTCCCAACATTCCTGGAATAGCAGTCAATTCCTTCCACTCTACAGAAGCCCATGATTTCAATAATTGCATCCATTTATGGAAATGCATCAACCTTGTTATTTATATCTCATTCACAATTTTCCCAATTTCATTGGCCTAAAACTGGCCTATTTTGAATGCAAAGGAAAAACAATTATGGAAAATGAGGATTAGGGCCTCCAGTGACCTGCAGGGTTTTCTGTGTGAGTAACATTAATCTGAGCAAACGGGGATAATAAAAAAGGAAAGAGAAGCTTTTTACTAGTATTTGACTGCCTTGCTCTAGTTTTACCGCACTGACCCAATTTACTAAAACAATTAGTCAATAACATATTCGAGACTTGCAAGGATTATCCCACAGCTTTAAAAATGAAACAAGGCTATTTCAGATTTCTAAATAAATGAAAGCATGTCTACCCCAACAAAACAGAACTAGATAAGGTAACAAGGAAAAAATGCTGGAGAGTGTTCATAAGATTATTTTATTAAATATTATTTTTAATTTGATTTAATATATTATAATTTTAAATATTATTTCAATACTATTAAATATATATATACCAGATCAATACTTAATGAATATCCATACATCAAGGTGTAAGTGACATTAAATATTTTTTAAAAGTTGACATTGTGACATATCAACTATCTACTGAAAATAAAACTGATCTACTCACATTTTAAACAGCATTTTGCTAAATCTTTTGTAATTATAATGCATGCAGCTTTAATTCCCTCATATTAATATATTTGCACTTTTTACAAGCCTGAATGTACAAGTGAAGCAAAAAGGTGATTAACCCCTTAGCTGTCAAAGATCGGCGAAACATTGTTGCAGTGACAAAAATTTAGTAATTTATGTCAGGAGTGCAAAATAATAAATCCGTATGTGTCATATTTGGAATAGAAATATTCATGCGTATGTGTCATATTTGGAATAGAAATATTCATATTCACGCATTCATATTCAGTCACGTCTGCAGCGGTGTATTTGTGTTCACATAGCTTCACTGAACAGAGGGAGAACAATAGAATCATGAATGGGGCAGTTTGCCGGGCCAGACATGAGGCGACAGCATGCAGGAGAGCTTACAGAGGGCCATAAATCAATTTTATTAGCCTTCTCTAAAAACACACATGACATGGTCTTAGAAAATGTTTCATAAAATTCACAGTTTTAGAGATTATGTCCTGAAATTTGAAATGAAGCATTAGTAGACTTGTGGCTTTAGCTTCATTGTGTTTCTAAAAGCATTTACCACAGCAACATGTTTTTTTATACATTTAAAAAAAAAAATTGTTTTTATGTTTGAGCTACAGTCTGAGTAATTCTGATTCTTGAACAGTAAACTTTAAAGTGTCAGCTTTGCGAACATATGTTGATTATGTATCTAGTCAGAAAGACTCATGAGCAGCAACCTTTTTATTTTGGGTATTTCATTTGTGTCTCCATGCCGAAAATGGGGGGTGACAGCAAAGGGGTTAAAATTGCGAAAGTACAAACATTTTCATTTTAACCTAATTATATCTTACACCATATACAGTTTTTCCGCTTTACACTTTAAGCATCAACTACTCAAATATACATGAAAGTTTATGAATCAAAGTTCTATTAAGCATTGTATAATTTAATAATGTTTGATAATTAATTAAACGCATCATAAAGTGCTAACTAATAAAACACCAAACTTTCTGAGATAAGCTAAGAGATTTGGTTTCAGTTCTTCAACTCAACAAACAACTAAGCGTTCATACCTATAGAAGGCGAACATGACCAAAGCGTTGCCCGTGACTCCTAAAGTGCCGATGATGAGGATGAGGAAGGCGATGATGTAATGCACATGATCCGGGATGTCCAGTCTTTTGTAGATCTGCCGTTGAGGCTCCATCACCAAACTGAAGATACAGCAACAAACACTGAAGAACGACACTTCAACAAATCAAACCTGAGCACAGACTCAGTCATGGTCTCTGTCTTCTGTTTCCTCTCAGTCTGTCTCTGCTCAGAGTAAGGGAGAGTTTAGTTAAACACTATCAGTAATGGACACACTGCGACCTACTTGTCATGTCACATGACACACCCCTCGCTCCAGCATCTGTCCCACCCAAGCTTTTGTGTGTCTTCAGAGCGATCCCACGCTCATCTCACACACACACACACACACACACACACACACACACAACACACAACAAGCAGCAGGTTATATGAAAAGTGAACAGTTGGTGGTTATTTCACATTCTCTCCTCTTTGAACATGACTAGAAGAAGAGAAGAACAAGATGAGATGAGACTAAAGTTGAAATGAGAGCATGTGTCAGATAGATTACAGTGCTTTACCTCTTTCATCACTATGTCTGTAATGGATGTGAGGGTCAGAGGGAGATTCAGAATGAGAGAGAGCGAATGGGTGTTTGAACATGTACAGCCGCAGTGATTTAAGTTCCTCTGAGCTCTTCAGAAATGTCACAGAGCAACCTGAACACAGCCAAATGTACCAAGTGTTATTTTAGCATACTATTACAGTATTTACTAATATTTTTATATTTTCAGTAATCTTATGTGCTTTTGTCATTTGTATTAGTTATTTTATAATTCTATTTCACTTTTCATTTTAGTACATCAAGTTAAACTTATTTCGGTTGCTAAAAAAATAGTTTTTCGTTTCAGTTAACATAAAAAGAATGCAATCTACAGTGCATTTGTAAGTCTCATCTAGTTGTCCTGGTCTCCGCTGTCTTTCAGGGCTGTAGAGGTCCTCTCTAGGTGCTGATCCACCATCTGGTCTGAATACGTACTGGATCCGGGTGACTGCAGTGACCATCTGATCTGGATACAGACTGGATCTGGTGGGTTGTTTCAGGGTTGGCATCATCTGAGGTCCTCTGAGGGGTTGGCATCATCTCTTCTCAGGTGTTCTGGATCCAGACAATCCATTTGTAAATAGGCTTGTGTCTTCACCACTCAAAAATACAAAACAAATAAATAATATATTAAATAAATAATAAGCTTGACTTCATAGATTTTATTTGACAAATTCAAAGCTTTGCTAAAAACATTAGCAGATTCTTTTTTTTTAAATAATTCTATTTAGCTTAATTCATTTTTTATTTCAGTTTTCGTTTCTAGTTTTCTTCAAAATGTTCTAAGTTTACTTTTTCATCTAATATTAATATTTTATTTCAGCTTTATTTCAACCTCAGAACATGTTTTTTTAATAGTTTTAGTTAACAACACTGCAATCCACAATGCATTTCTGAACAGGCTTCCTTTCATCCATATCTGAAAATGCAAATATGTGAGAAAACATATGAATTTGTATGATATAAGTCGTACAAAAACATACAATTTTTGGAAAAAACTGTAAGCAAGGAGGTCCACCACTAAACCTAACTGTCAGTGGGGAGTAAGAAGATTTTACAAAAATATACAAATAAAATAATTTGCCTAATTTTTAAATATTGGCAAAATATTGGCAAATGTTGGCAAAAACACATTTTAAATGGTGGTTTCCACTCAGTAACATGAAGCACTTTGAGTAAATTCACTGTCCTCAGGGATAGTATACATACAGTGTAGCTTTATACTTTTTTACCACTTTTAATTTATTCATTTTAATTTATTCATAGTCAAGCATCACTTTTACTAGTACTTGAACTTAGTATTAGTGATTTGAACTTACTTATCAACCATTTATGAAGTCTGTTCTATAGCATGCAGTGTGTTGCTGCATCCAAAATCACATAATTCTCTACTGCACACTGTAAAAAATTACCGTGAATTTAATGGTAAAAGACTGTAAAAATGCTACAGTAAAAACCTGTTAAATGGTTAACGGTAAATTCCCCTACTATATACGGTGAAAAAATGTATTGGACATTACATGTAATTTTACGGTAGTATACCGTTTTTGGAAGTGAAAAATACTTTACAGTGAATAACCGTAAATTGACATTCCCAGAATTCCCTGCGTTACATTTAAAATGTAATGTTTTTTGTTGTTGAAATAACTGTTTCTTCTTAGTTTTTTCTTATCAGTTTTGTATATTGTAAATTCCCCTACTATATACGGTGAAAAACTGTATTGGACATTACATGTATTGGACATTAATTTTATGGTAGTATACCGTTTTTGGAAGTGGAAAAGACCGTACAATTTACAGTGATTAACCGTAAATTGACATTCCCAGAATTCCCTGCTTTACATTTCAAATTTGATGTTTTTTTGTTGAAATAACTGTTTCTTCTTAGTTTTTTCTTATCAGTTTTGTATATTAGGGTTGTGTGTTGCACCTAATGTTGTTAAATGAATGTTTATTGCATTATGTATCGTGTGTCACCATGATGGTGTTTGGTGTTTGTGTGAATGACACTGTGCACCTTCTATATATGTTATTATTTAAAAGCTGCTTGTGATGGGCTTTGGTTCATCATGTGACTTTCTCATCACCACCTGCATTTGGTGGTTATCAGTGTATTACAAAGGTACAAAACAGATTTCAGTACTTCAATAGGTTGGTATATTAACATTATATCAGTTAATGAAATTACAGTTTTTAACGGTAAATTTAAGTTAAAACCGTAAAACCTAAAATGTTGCTACCGTATTTTTACGGTAAAATTCTGGCAACCACAGCTGCCGTTTTTTTACCATAAATTTTACGGAATTCTTTTTTACAGTGCAGGCAAAAAAAAAAACTGTTTGTAAAAAAAATAGTATGTCAAATTCAAAGTATTCATAAAAAAGTTTCAGGTAACTTACTACTTCCAGCGAGCTTGATTTTATTGTCTGCTGTTTTCTGTTGCACATTTGGCAAATGCAAAGCTTTGCTATAACATTAGCAGAAAAGACACTTTCGACTGTGACCACCTTGTTTTATCCTACAAAAACCACTGAATAAAAAAGCTTAATGGTTCGTCCTAAGAGACCTTGTGTGTCTGTCCTCATGATCTCTCAATGCTTTAGCACCGTAATCCAGGCATCACTTCTGTTCTCTCCACGGCAGTCAACGGCTGCTGCATGTGGGATTATATCTCTCTCCATAATCCTACATCTTAGCTAAAACCTCACTGACAATAACAGCATTACTCTAATTCAGCCTATATGACAAGCGTGCTCACAGTAACACAACAGCCTCCAGCAGATTACATTATAGATCAAGGAATCAATCTAACTAACCTGGAACATAAGAGGTTCTCACCCCTAATCTGAGAGATGAGGTCTGCAGGAGCATAACTCGCATAATTTAGAAATAAAGGTGATTAATAGAGATGAGTGTACACCGTTCAAAAGTTTGGGGTCTGTAAGACTTTTTTTTAAGAAATTCATACTTTTATTCAGCAAGGATGCATTCAATTGATCGAAAGTGACAGTAAAGACATTTACAATGTTTAACAAAAATGTCTAATAAATGCTGCTCTTTTGAACTTTCTATTCATCAAAGATACCTAGAAAAAAAAAGTATCATGGTTTCCACAAAAATATTCGGCAGCACAAATGTTTTCAACAGTGATGATGAACATAAATGTTTCTTGAACAGCAGATCAGCATATTAGAATGATTTCTGAAGGATCATGTGACACTGAAGACTGGAGTAATGATACTGAAAATTCAGCTTTGATCACAAGAATAAATTGCATTTTAAAATATACTCAAATAGAGATCAGTGCTTTTAAATCGTAATAATATTCTTAAGCACAATATTGCTGTTTTTTTTACTATATATTAAGCAAATAAATGCAGCCTTGGTAAACAAGAGACTTATTTTAAAAACTTACTGACCTAAGTAAAAGAACAGTAGTGAGTGTGTGTGTGTGTGTGTGTGTGTTTTTGTGACAAATGAGGACATAAATGTGTATAATGACATGGGTATGACAGGTATTACAAGGAGAAGGTGACTTTTCAGGACATTACCCCATGTCCCCACTTTTCAAAACGCTTATAAATCACACAGAATGGAGTGTATTGAAAATCTGAAATAGCACAAAGTTTCCTGTGAGGGGTAGGTTTAGGAGTAGGGTTGGTGTAGGGCAATAGAATATACGGTCTGTACAGTATAAAAACCATTACGCCTATGGGATGTCCCCACTTTTCACAAAAACAAACCTGTGTGTGTGTGTGTGTGTGTGTGTGTGTGTGTCCTACAGATTTACATTGAAGTAGAGACCAAGAGACTTGCGGGAAAGATCTTTTACATAGCAACCACATAGAACACCTTAACAACTGCATAGCAACACCCTAGCAACCACCCACAACATTCTCAACTCAATATAACGATTAGACTTTCGTTCAGAAAAGTGGAGAGATTTGGTGATCCTGGATCCAGCGTGACACACAAAAACAGTCTGACATTTCTATAGGACAGCTGCATGCGTATAGGCCAACATAAGCCTCTTTAGCCTGTCTTGAACAAATCATCCCTCTGTAGCATTTTGCATTAATGTAACAATGGTATGAAATTAAATGTCTGTTTAATCAAGAGAATGTTTTGCAATGTCGTGCACAAATAGCATTACATCATATAAAGACTATGAATGTTAGGTTGAAATGTGATTTCAACCCATGCAAAAGACAGAAGCAGATAGAGGAAAGTGACAAATCGAGTCTAAGGTGCAAAAATAAATCATTATTTAGAAAAGCCAATTGCATACAGAAAATAAGCTTTCACTTGGATTGTCATTTACATAGTCAATTTGCAATTAAATCACAATCTTTTTTTCTTTCTTCTTGGTCTTCAGGGATAGACAGATTTTCTTGGAAAGCATTGCGTTTGCATGGAAATAAATTACGAGTTTGTAAATTCTCTGACTCCACATGACTGGCGATCTATTCTCCAGTGAAATAAGATAACGTGTAATTTACCAAGGCTTTAAACTTTGCTATCAGAGTCATGTCGCATCTTAATCTTTTGTAGTCTTGGGATTACTCTTATTTTAGGCCAAGATGAATGGTCATGTAATTTTTTTTATCTGGAATGAATAGTTTTGATTACTTGCTGATCCCCTGTTGGGCTTCAACGTCAGCTTCATGTGGAGAAATGTGTCAACCTGGACAGAGAAAAGAAGGGAAAAAAGGGTATTTTAGGGCATTAACACATGGGCACATTGAATATCAAAGAACAGGTGTGTCATGATTACCTGAAACTGATATCAATTCAGCAGCACTTTTGTCGCTTGCTTGTTTGACAATTCTCATTTATCAGCCAGAATGCTTTCTGTCCAAGATCAAATTTGGGTTTATGCGACAGAGGATGCCTTGGATATTACAAAAAAATGTGGGGACATGAAATTTCCCTGTAATCAAATAGCCTACATCAAAATCTACTGTGACAATAGACAGTTTAATTATATTCAGTGGCTTCTCCTAGTTTTCTTAGAGATATTTAGTGCCAGTTTATCAGGAAGTGACGATTTTGTTCTCTTTGACTCGTTGGATGGAAACGGTGCTTTATTCGCAAATGTTTTGTGTGATAGGCCTATTCCAGTTTTTGCGCAGAAGTTAAATTCGCATCTTTGGATGGAAATATCCAAAGCATAACTAGCATAACAAAAAAATACCTCAATCTTCTTTGAATGGGCTTAACCTTTATTTTTCTCAGAAATCTTTTGCTGACATCTAGTGTTAAAATACGAAGAGCTTTCTGCATGAGTCAGATGATAGACAGTTAAAATGTGATTTCTTGTTTTGATTCTGTTATTGAGGGTAAAACACCTCATATGTTATCAAGCAAATAATCTAAAAAAAAACTATAAAATCAAGCAACACTTCTTATCAAATGACATAAAAGGTAAATCAAGCGAAAATTCTTATCAAATTACACTAAAGGTGAAGAACATTGAATAATATTTCTAAATATTTTACTCTAATTTTCTTACATGTTTAGGGTCATTTTGGTCGCAAATACCTATTTGAGGTTCGTCTCGCACAACGGAAACTGTTTATGGCGCCAGCGTTAGCCAAACGCTAACTAGGTTGTATTAAAGAAACAAAACAAAACATTTGGAGATATATTTGTGATATTTAAATGTATATTAAAGTGATAAATTAGCGTATTTTTATTTTGTCGACGCACCATTCGACGCTTTACAATGAATTTAAAGATACACCCGCGTAACATGAAGTGTCTGACAGTCTTTTTATTTTATGAATAAAATCAGTAAGTCACATTTTTGATGGCAAAATGATAGGCTTTTAAAACATCAAGGCAGAAAAATTAAGAGATGCATTTTTTGCAGACATCCATTAACTTACATAAACAAAAATAAAGAGCTAGAGTAGCTATAAAAGAGTCTTTGGGATTCATAAAAGTTTGTAGCTAGAAGGAAAAGAGAGGCAGAGACGTTAAAGAGAAACCTCTCATACAAAAGAAAAATCACATCACTTTGTCCTTCCACCACAAGCAGCCTAAAAACTCACAGTGCAAACATTACCTCAGAAGAGAGAGACGTTTACACGCTATTCATCACAACCAATCTTCATCTATAAAGTCATCAGTCTAAACACTAATTCAAAATTAATGGTATAAATAAAAAAAATAATTATAAATTTTTTTTCTTTGCCCTTGAAGAGAACAACACAAGACAATGCACGCCAAAGTCCATTTTTGCGTATCAATACCACGAGTTTTCGTTTTTATTTGGCGTACTATTTATACGCATTTTCATGAGACCGGGCTCCACAAGAGCACCCATCTGACTAAGGACAAGAACTGGTTGCAGAATCATACAGTAAGTGCCATAAAAAAGGGGTTGTAGATTTGAAAACATACACAGTTTGGCGTATAAATATGTTTAGTTGTGACTATCCAGTATGCTTTAAAAGATCAAATGTTGCATGATGGACAAACAACCTCTAAGCTGGTCTTGCCTTCAAATATCTACATGCCCGCTTATGAAATATTATAACATATTTACTGTGATTCAACTACTGTACATCTTTGAAAACCATTCCGTTATTACACAGACAGTGCAGAAGCTAAACAAAAACAATGCCAACTCTTGCTGTTGGTGCAGGAATTGGTGTATAATGGAAAGTTCACAAGAAAACACTTTCATCCTCATCTCACCACATATTTAATGTTGCAAGCTAAATGCTTTTCATCAGATGTAGGTTAACGATCGGGTCTTTTATTATGTTATAGCTTATTGTTGACTAACTATGATCATTTAAAAGGGTGGAATGGGGCATATATTCATTTCCTCAGCTGAGGACAGTGATGTTAGTGTTCCTGATATTGTTGTGGTTATTTTGATGTTGTTGTTCTTGGATCGCAGTTACTGATGTTTGCAATCTGTAGCTGGCGTTTTTGAGGTGTTCAGTTGGTGCAGGTGTTGATGTTCTTGCCGTCAGCTGCATCATCCACCAGAGACAGACGGTAGTCCGTGGCGAGAGTGAAATGAGAAATGCATCCCACTAAACCTCGCATGTACTGCCTGTTAGTGTGCAACGCGATCTCCTTCATCCCACCTGGAGAGACAGTGGGAAACTTTGAGATTTGAAATCAAAATCACAACCAGAACTAGACAAATACAAAAGAAGTCTCTTCTGCTCATGGGGACTGCATTTATTTGATCAAAAATACAGTAAAATAGTAATATTGTGAAAAATTATTACAATTTAAAATAACCTTTTTCTATTTGAATATATTGTAAAGTGTAATTTATTCCTGTGATGCAAAGCTGAATTTTCAGCATCATTACTCCAGTCTTCAGTGTCACATGATCCTTCAGAAATCATACTAATATGCTGATTTGCTGCTCAAGAAAAATTTGTGATTATTATCAATGTTGAAAACAGTTGTGCTGCTACATATTTGTTATGAAACCACTGATAAATTCATTTCAGGATTCTGCAATGAATCACAGCAAAACAAATCTTTTTCAATATCTTTACTGTCACTTTTAAACAATTTAACGCATTTTTGCTGAATAAAAGAATTGATTTCTTTCCATACAAACTAAACGGTAGTGTTATTTTATACTTGTATACACTATACTCTCTATACAATACTCTAAAAAACACTGGGTTAAAAACAACCCAATTTGGGTTGTTATTAACCCAAGGGCTGGGTAAATATAGGACAGAACCAATCTTGGGTTAAATTTACCCAGCAAATTGGGTTGTTTATTTAACCCAGCATAATGTGTTGATTTAACCTAGCTAATGGGTTTATTCACTTTTACTATATTACTAGCTTTTTTTTTTTTACTTCATATATTAACAGATTAATATATATAATATAATATATTATATATAATATATATAATATATTACAGATTAACTTAAAGGCAGAGTAAGCGATTTCTGGTAGCCAATGTTGATATTTGAAATCACCAAAA